ATTGTGTCTTCTTCACATATCAATATTTCAGGTATTTGTGAATCAGAATCTAGATTATGCAAGGAAAGATGTTTAATAATCTGATTTATATTCATTTTTTTATATGATGTTTTACATCTTCTGGCAATAAGACAGACCATGCAACGCCTCTCTGACTTCATTAAAATTGCAATCATTACCAGGCTATAAAATATAAGATGTTATAATATCCAGCTAAGCTTTGTACAATGATTACCCTCTGGACATTCATGACTGCTGGACCATTAATTGAAAATTGGTCTTAATTAACCGCACAAAAAATTAGAGATGCCATTGTTTGAGCCAATAAAATTAGTTTTCAAGCAATGTGAATTGAAATGAATGGGAGAGTAGGTCTTTTCTTTCTTCTTTGGATAAAGTGTTATTATCAGAGATACAGAAAGGTCACCTTTATTAATCATCATAATTATTTACAGTAATTAGGCCAGATATCAAAGGAGCACTTTGTAACTGCTCTCAGAGAAAATTGATTCTTCATGCTCGAAATGACTTCAAGGGTACTAACACGTTTTATATAATATATGCAGTTTGAAAATAACAAAGTCCGACCTCAATCACGAGTGGCAATAATGTGGTTGTTCACCAAATCACACATTTTATGTTGAATATTAAGCTTTGTATTTAATCTGCTTCCCTTGTAACAAATGTAAAGGTGGCTTGATGATGGATGATAAAAACAATGATTGTAAGATATATGTATACAACAGCTTTGTGTTAAAACTACGCAGAAGCCAACAGTAATGGACTCAAAATAACTAAGTAACTCACTACAATAAATCAATACAACCAAAAGTTTTAGAAAAAAGGGAAACCTGAATGCTACAAACTGTTTTTGAACAATGGTCAACACATTCAAGGTCAGACTGAGTTATTGTAAAATACAGCTTTATGTTTATTTAGAGACTGAAAGAAGGTGTAGTCTTCTTTGTTTTTTTACACAATGAACTTGCAGACTTTTAAAATGTAAGCTGGGTTTCGTGCATTGCCTAACACTTCATTCCAACATACATTTGGCCATTTCATTATTCTTAATGTTTAAGATGAGCCAAGTTAGCAAACTATTCCACAATTGTGCAATATGTATTTTGTATATATTTAAAATGTAGTTCAATAAGCCAACAAGGACATATTTAGCTAAATCTCTAACAGAGATAGCACAGACATTGGAGCCCTCTCTTTTTCTGCCATTTTCTTGCAACATCCATATTGCCTTATCCTATTTATTCTGATTTGTAGGATTTTCATTACTTAAGGGACGTGGATGATACATGTATTGTGTCAGTTAGCATACACCCATTTATCGACATGTTGCCAAGTATTAAGACCCTAAAGGCTGAATAGCTGAATGTTATCCAAGGTCAATAACTCTCACTGATAATACTTTGGAAAATATATATTTTGGCCAGCAGAGAGCAATTCCCTCTTCATGAGTTGGCAAGCTGTAATCTGAAGTTCTGAGAACATTATGTTTTCTAGTTGGAAGACATTGAACTCAGATAGAGACCCAACAGTTGTGCAAGAGAAGAATGGTGATCATTTCAGTGTACTCGCTTTTTCAGTTCAAGAAGTCTTGAATTCATATTATATAACCTTACACTTTGGGGAATGCTAGTTAAGCAGTAGACTTGTTTGTAAACACACACACACACACACACACGCACACACACACACACACACACACACACACACACACACACACACACACACACACACACACACACACACGCACACCTTCAATGATGCAACAAATACTAAAAGTGTTGCTCTTCACACTTTCAACAATGCCATTGTTATTGCATGCTCAAAAGTGGGGTGAAAGACATTCACAAATGGAAAGTGTTACTAGTTTCAAGAATCCTACAGCAAAGATCCCAAAAAAAAAAGATTTATTCTGTTGTTTCAGCAATTGACCAATGATTTCATTCAAAATGATTTGGATTGGAAAATCAATAACCACAATTCAATTACAAAGCCACAGCTGACTCAGCCAGAAATAAACCTAGAAATAATGTTGTCAGTCACTACTGGCTTGTACCTGCCTGCTTGTAAAATATTATCAAAGCCATAACTTTATTATGTTAAATGATCTAATTATATTCTATGACCACATTAGCTTCAGACTTTTGAAGAATTGTGTCTGATCTTTTCATAATGACCTCTCATTTAATTTTTTGGTGAGTCAAATAGTGTGTTTACAAATGTGTGAGCTCAGAATTTAATTCCCAGCACAATTTATCTCCAACCAGTCTTATATAACTGGTTAATTCCTTACATTAATTTATCATCTTACATCAACTATGCATACAGGAAATACTGTCCAAATATGTTTTTATTCAACCATTCAATACATATTGAGGTTTCACTTTAATTTGTCACAACATCTCAGATTGAATTCTAGTGTTCAGGAATGTATGTATGATTTGACTAATCTAACTTACACTCTACAACAGTAGTATGAATAATATTGTATTTCTTTGGTTTTGTAATGTGAATTATCCTGAGAGCTACTTGAGTGCTAACACAGATACTAAATTGAATGCTTAATACACACGGGCTTACGTGTCCTTGATTCGGGAAATGAAAAAGTCCCTGCAGGCTTTTAATATTTAACCAAATGTGGGTGTAATGGCAGGTCATTCAGTTGCAAAGAAACTAGACTGGGTGACTAGGGGCTGGTCTTATTCATTTTTAAGGTGTAAACATTCTGTGCTATTTTAATATATATAGAAAAAGGGATTGGCTAATCAAATTGAAAAAAGGGTCAAAGGCAGCGTTATAGCATGAACTGTAATTCCCTGCAGTGTTTGAAGTGGTGGGAAAACGAAACCTCTGGTTGTACATTAGCATGTAGAGCCAGAGGATATGCTTATGTACATTTCAGTTAGTTTCTCTGGCACTTGAGCTGGTGGTTTCGCACACGCTGCAGAACAGTGGATTATCATGCAGAGTTCACAGTTTGAGTCTTGAACCCAGCTGCAGTACCAGTGTTTTGTTATTCCACTTGACATGTAGTCGGAAGTTCATTTCAACATTGCCTTATCCCGTTAAAAAAGAAGACATTATGTCAAAATTAATGAATATCATTAAAGGAATCTCACGGTGAAGTCCGAGTAAACTGAATGAGGTCATGAGTTGTTGTATAAGTTATCCATACTTATTTTTACATATTCAAAATGTACCAGCATTATATGGTTTTGTTAAATGTGTGGTATAGTTGACAATTTGGAATTGTTTCATGATTGCATATATCTATCAACCACATCAGGGATGTTAAAATCAAAGAAAATGAATAATAAATGTAACTACTACTCTATTTGTGTTCCTTTCTTACTTCACTGGACCTCAAATGTACTTTTATTGAGTATTTAAAATGACCTCAACTCATCCTGAATCAATTATTAAATATGAAAAGAAATAGTCCTGAAATGTTAATCTTGACATTCTTGCAATCAAAGATTCTGCTGCATTTTTTATGATTTGAATCTGTCTAAAACTGATTCTTGTATTCCTTCAATATATACAGTTTAAGGCGCCGTCACTGTGAACGAAATAGGCTACATGTGAACTGATTCATGTTCATCATGGTTTAGTAATATTATCACAGCGGGATTATGTATTTGTAGATGTAGATATAAACCATGCAGTGTGTGACAGCTATCATTAACAATGCAAAGACAGACAGAATACCCAACAAGGAGAAGAGTCCCCGTATGGTTTGTTAGCAAGCAGGAAACGTAAAATGAAGGGAGGAGAAATATTTAGTATTTGTGCCTGAAAATGATATGATCTTCCCAACCTTTACCCCTGTGCACTGAGACACATGGGATCCTGTGTGTTCGATTCAGTGAAACTGCAGTCGTGTTAAGTTACTGCTGATGAAAACGCAACATTTCCTGATTTTGCAGCTTCATAAAATAAGCTTTTAAGATAACAAATTAACAGGGAACCTTAATTGTGGATAATTTATTGGACATTAAAAGTGTTTTTTTTACCTCTGTAAAGCCAATCCTTGACCATCAGTCACAACAATCTATCAGCCCGCTGCTTTTAACCATCATTGACTTGAGACAGGACCATCATCTGTTAAACCCCCACCTCAAGCACGTTGCCTGTTAAATGAAGATTCCAAACCGAGGTAGGCCAAGCAAGCAGAATTGTAGAAAAGGGCTTTAGTGGCCTTTTTTTCTAAAAAGGGGGAGAAATGTCATGTTCAAAATGTTGGTAAGCTCTACAGTCTGATGTTCGACATTCAGTAGCCTACCACAGAGGTTGGCAGTCAACAGAACTGAAATATCAGTTCATCTTTAAGGAAAGTTCGAAGACATTTGTTATAAAGTTTTCTTTTTTAATGACGTTACACAAGGTGTGGGCTGAATCAATAATTAAGTATAATAGGTCTGCTTGTCACACGGTGAATTATGGTATGTTACGTTTCACATACTCTTCTGACAATACAAAGCCATTGAAGTATTTTTCAAACACAACATTCAAAAATAGGCTCATAGGCCAACTACCTTGGTGGACAGATAAATTGTTTCCGGGAGGAACTGATGCATCTGGCAATAACGGTGGGTGCTCAGAATGATAAGGTATGGTGTCTATGCCTAGAAATTATGAATATATTGTTACAGTATGCAAGCAGAACCTTTACATTAATCATTCATGATTCTTGTGGCCCATTACTTCTCCTATTAAATTATTAATGCTTTGGACCAACTTTTTTCACATAATCAAGTACTTATTGTTGGCTGCTATAGATTGCTTCTATATATGCAAAGAGAGCCATAAAATGAGACATAAAAGTACAACAACAGACACTTCATTACATTAAACCAGGCTTTTGTGCTTTGAAAGCCTATTATCTGGTTTATATTGCAGGACATACTGTAAATATCAGCACATTGACCCAGCTGTTTGTCTTCTCTACCCCTCCCTTATATCCCCAAATCATCCATCCATAGAGTTTTTCTTGGAGCTGCTGGACAATTCTGAGAAGTCTCTCAACAGTATGTTCACACGGACGTACGGGAAGTTGTACATGCAGAACTCTGAGGTGTTCCAGGATCTGTTCACTGAGCTCAAGCGCTACTACACGGGGGGCAACGTCAACCTGGAGGAGATGCTCAATGACTTCTGGTCCAGGCTGCTGGAGCGCATGTTCCAGTTACTCAACTCCCAGTACCACTTCACAGACGACTACCTGGAGTGCGTCAGTAAATACACAGATCAGCTGAAGCCCTTTGGAGATGTGCCCAGGAGGCTGAAGGCCCAGGTCACCAGGGCCTTCATCGCTGCACGGACATTTGTCCAGGGGCTAATGGTGGGCCGGGAGGTTGCCAACAGGGTCGCCAAGGTGAGTTACATTTTATTTTCCTAGCTGTTTGTTGTGTGGCTTTGTGATCCGGTGCTGTTGGGCAGTGTTGTATTTTCAGATGTTGTATACAGTTCTGCAAATAGCTTTTAAGAAGATCTGTCTCTTCTATAACGTGATTGTTTTTAAAGATTTAAATCATTCTATTCCTTCCTTGGTGTTTTTTCTAATTGAGAAATATGGTTTTTGGATTTAAACATTCATATAATGCTCTTTTCTTCTGTACTGTATCAAAGTATGGGCACAGTACCAATGGTATATCCACCTTCAACTTTTTATTCATCTGCATTATTCATACTTTCATTGTTTGAAATCTCTTCACTGGACTTTTCCTGGATTGGATTAGTTGCATCTGAATGATTTAATAAAAGCCCAGAATTATATAAACAATATGTTGGTTCCATATGAGGATTTTTTTGAAGATGCACTTGATCTCTGGTTATGAGTTACAGAACCAGATTGTTTTTCACAGTACACAGTGTCTAGTAGGCTCATTTCAGAAGAAGCAACCGCAGAGAGTAAAGCTTTGCAAAAGAGTGAAGATTAAAGCATATATCCCCCGAGATTGGTAATGCGGTTTTGTTTGCTGTTTTTCTATTTGCTATTCTCATTGTGTTACTTTTTGGACATTGCTTTTTAGGAAATCTAGTGACATTTTTAATGGTGACAAATAAATAAGGCAATATAAAATGTTTTTTCTTTCCTGTTGCTCATAGTTTGTTTTGAGAAATTGGTTGATTTGATTCTGAAAATATATGTTTTTAGAGCATTATCAAACACTGCAGATTAGAAATGTGTTTTCCAAGGCTTAGCGGATATGTTTTCTAATTCCATGTTAAACACAGTAAGTTACGCAACAGTTTTTCATCGACGTCTAAACTGTAAAAATTATATAACCAAAGCTGTTTACTTTTGGTTGTGCAATGCATTGCTCAGCTTTATGAAATAGATGCAAGAACTGGCAAACATGATAAAACTGGTAGGCAGACTTATTTATGGCCAAATTTCATCATCAAAAATATATACAACATGAATGTTTTATACAGATTGGGTTTCCTGGGACACTGAGCAAAAATAAGGGATGGATTTTTAAGTTATGATATCATAACTTTGATATATGAACACAAATATTTGTTGCATGAGAAAAAATATAGTTGTAATTAATCTACTGTATATCAACAATGATTTGTCCTTATTCATTCACTTGGTGATTATATTGCAGTAGACCAATTGATATCCTATGAAATGTGAGATTCCTTATCTCAGTTTCTCAGACTCTATGGTAATGTTTTACAAAATGTCTTGTTTGATCTGAGCAATAGTCTAAAACCCAATGTTATTTTATTTACATGATTATATACTTTAACTATTGATTCATCAAAATATTTGCTAATTATTTGATCAGCAGTTCAATCAACAATACAGAGAATATTAACACTTTTTCCGTCAACAATTTCTGTAACTTGTACTTTTGAGACCCTTTCCAAAATGATCTTTTAAAAATAATGGCCTTACTACACCAGAAGTAAAGTGTTGAATTTAGTGTTGAAACTGTAGAAATAATTGTATGTGTCAACAACACATGAATTGAAATGGAATTATGTTAGCGCAATTTAACGCACAAGGACAGGCTACATTCAAATACATAATTTAGTTTTTCTCTCGTCCCTAGACCGGACATTTAGCCATTTCCAACTTTGATTGTGTCTGAAATTGAACCATCAGCTTGATATACTATCAGCCTCCTGCCACCCACTGTCCTCACACAATTCTGGATCATTGTTGGAATTTACGTCATGATGCCATATACTTCCCGCCGAACACTGCTGCGGTATATCATCACTGAAGAGTCAATCATATTCAATTGGTTTGTTATTGTCTTGCCACTGAGCTTGCCGTCCACTGTCCCTCAGTGGCATTTCAGCCATTTCCGATAAAGATTTAAAATTAGCACCTCTATACATCTGTCCTCGGCTTTCAAATGCAACCTCACTCTGGATCAAATCGAATATTCCTTGCTTCCTCATCAATTATGAAGTGGAGCCAGGAAACGCTGTGGTGTTGTTGAAGGCTGTCAGGATAGTGAACCACCATAGAACTGAAGGTGAAGAGTTGCTTGACATGACAAATCACCTTGACCTAAGAATCACCCTGCATTCTTGCTGCTTTCAGCGACAGAAAGCCACTTGCATCTCCCTCAAAACAGCCTTAGAGTACAAACCAATTTCTCACTTCTTAGGTGTAAACACACAGCTCTATATAAAGCACTTTCTGTTCAATTTTACATCCAATAACAACTGAGATGTATGTACTTTTTGCTGGAACGCTACATTTGTGCAGTGTTATAGCTGCAATTACTCTGGAAATCACTTTTTTGCAGTTTTTTTTAGAAATCATATCATCATCAATCATCAAGAGCAAATAGTAGTTAGATTTGTGTTAAAATATACTATTACTCCACTTCAAGTTAAAGTCCAGCCATTTGAAAACAAAAGTATTTACAGGTAATTTTTATCAATGGTAAAAGGACTAAATATGCAAAATGTATGTTCTCCCTATAGACAACTACTTCTCCAGCCCCAAGTTGTCAAATGTGAGGCTTTTCTCTGATTTAAATCCTTTCATAGAAAATGAGTGTGGACTGTTGGTTGGACAAAACAGTAGAATTGAGGCATCACATTGACATCTGTATTAAAATGTAAAATATTTTATAAATATTATTGCTGGATTAATAACTGTTAATGGATTTTGGATCAATCTCATCACACATTTTTTCTAGTATTGAAGAAGGCCCAGGAGTCATGAAATAAAAACAACCTGAGGGAAAGCCTGAAGGGAATTTCCTCATATTTGGTACAATGGTCCACTTGGACAGATAAACTGGCCATAACTCAATAATTAATATGCTAATTATAATTTCACAGAATAGGATAACATAATGATGTGATAACATTTTGGAAAGTAATGAATGTAAACTCCAACTTGACTGGTTGGTAAAGGCATTCAAAACCTCGAGACGATAATTCTAGTATTTTTTGGCACTTAAAGGACTTCTTATCCATGTCCACTTAGAAGAGTGGAGATTGAGATTGAAAGATTCTTTTTGACCTTGGATCACCTGACCTTCTTTTTTGACCTTCTACTGCTGCCAATTTTCTGAACAATTATATTTTATCTCATTAATTATACATAAGGCACCTTTGGGGTCTGCATCAATCAAAAATATTCTCAGTTTCTTTTCCCCTTTCACCATAACCATTTTAACGGAAAGGTACATCTTCAAAACTACAACATCCATTTCATTATTTTAATTTAGGAAGTTAAATGTCCACATGTCAAATGTCCTTGGGCAAGATACTGAACCTCAATGTGCTCCCAATTCCACAACCATCAGTGTGTGAGAGTGCCTGAATGAGCATTAGACTAGATCCTGATGAGCAGTTTGGTCCCCTAGTATGACAACCCCACCATCAGTGAAAGAATGTGTGTGTGAATTGGAAAATGTTGGCATGTCAGTGGTGGGAAAACTAGAAAGGAACTATAGACATGAACGTTTCTTTAATATTTACTAACCAATGAGAAAAGGTATAACAAGGTGCATAAAATATGATCTTTTACCCACCATTTATATAACAAATTCATAATGTACATCGCCCATGGTGAGTGGCTCTAACAAGGTACCGTCAAGGCTCTTACTCAAATATCCAAATCAGCCGTGAAATCCAGAGATTTTCAAATGACAAAATGTGCCTTTATATTAATGTTTAAACCATCTGTCTGTTCAATTTTCCATGTTACTTTTAAACAGGATGGTGCACTGAGGATGATGAGCCATACATAATTACTGCTAACAGACGGCTCTGCATGCAGTCAAGTCGGAACAGGAGAGATATCATTCCATAAAATGAGATTTAACTCGACTTGCACTGAACAGTTTCCCGCACCCCAATCCTGGATTAAGAGCCAAATCTCTTTGGATTACAGTTTATGATGACCATTAAGAGTTTTATCCTGGGGGTACTTAAAACACAGTCCAACCACATTAAGACCTGCTCAGAGAAGATTGCAGGGATTTGGACCTTTTGAAAGGTTTTGAGTTCAGGCATTTGGAGCACTTATATCTGACGCTGCATGTTCACAGGAAGCCAGACTGGTCCATGATGCATATTTAGTTCTGATGTTGTAAGTATGTAAGGTATTTTGTACTGAGGGATTTGTTTTCTTGATGGCTTACACTGTCATGTTGATCTCATTATACACTCATGTCCTACCATGAACTGTCAGATAATTTGACATTAAGCTTCACGGCAGTTTCTAATCTTTACACAACATATACCTTAGATTACTGCTCTGCCGGAAATAGTCTATTCTAACATTTGATAAATACCACAACCAATGTGGTTTTCATCGTTTGTTTTCTTTGCTGTTTAATGTATTCAAAGCCATATGGCATTTTAACGCACTTACTGTCAAAGCAAATCAGTAAAACGCATTCAACACTTAATAATAAATGCTCAGACAGCAGTGTCACACAAAGTCGGTACTTTGCATTTTTTAACAAAACTAGTTTGAAAGCTAGTAAATGGTTTGATCGCATTTGTTCGATGGCCAAACTGCCAAACACGAGGCTTTCAATTCGTAGTACTTCAAACAAAAGGAGACTTAACGCTGATTACCTCCACTTCTTATTACAGTTTATCATTAACACCCTACAATTATAGTTTTCAAACAATATATATAATCAAATCAAATCACTGTATATATAAAGTTTCAAACACATTCACAGATACAATCAGGAAAACATATATATACATTAAATTAGAGTAGTGGCATTTAAGATTGCAATATATATTCTCTCTGTGGGCGGCGGTGAATGTACCGAGAAATGGATCAGATGAGTGAAAGCAGAATGCAAAGAGGTGACCGGTGGAAACACTGTCACACTTATTCATTATGGCAACGGCCAGTGGGTTAACCTGATC